AGCGGCACATGATTCAGAGACATGTGAACTGGCGAGTTGAAATGTAGACGGCAGGATATTGAATTAGTTGTAGTATATCGTAGGCCAGAATATGTAGTCGATAACTTCCTCCTAAGCAAAATTAAGTCCTGATGTAATAGGGGTAAAAGCCTCATAGTTAATCACTCACTTACGCCTGTTACTCCTCGTGAAGAAGCATAGGCCACTCACCAGCATTCGCCATCCAACCCTTTCCTGGGCAATCCTTTCCAACTCTTTCCAGTTCTTATTCATCTTTTTCATATCTGATTCTATTTCCCGATGTAATGTGTCCCTTGACCTTCCTCTTTTCCCCTTCCCCTCAGGATTCCAAGTTATGGCTTATTTCGTGATGCAGTTTGACGATCTGTGTAATGTATGTCCTATCCATTTCCATCGTCTTTTCCTAATTTCCTCTTCAGTTGGAAGTTGCTTTGTTCTCTCCCACAGTAGGCTGTTGCTGATGGTATCCGACCAATGGATGTTGAGTATCTTGCGTAGACAGCTATAGATAAATACTTGTACCTTCTTGATGGTGGTTGTTGTAGTTCTCCAAGTTTCAGTCCGTACAGACGTTGGTATTGAAGATTCTGACTTTGATATTGGTTGTTGTTCCACATGTTCTTGAATTGTAGGAATGAAACCCTTGCTTTGACAATCCTCGCCTTTACGTCTGCATCTGAACCTACATGTTCATCAACAATGCTGGTCAGATATGTGGAAAATACCGCCTCTTCCAGAGCTTCTCCATTACGTGAGGTCAAGTTGCTGTTCTCTGTGTTGAACTTGAGGATCTTGCTTTTCCTCTGTGTATGTTGAAGCCTAATGATATAGAGACTGCTGCCACACTAGTTGTCTTCATCTGCATGTATTTGTGTGTACAGGATAGAGTGGCCTGGTCATCTGAGAAGTCCAAATCGTCCACCAGAAGTAAGAGGAAGGGAGAGAGTAGACAGCTTTGTCTGACTACGGCCCTTGCTTGAAATGCGTCTGTCAGCTGTCCTCCATGCAGTACATTTCACTGTAGTCTGTCTTGTGAGTTCCGGATAATGTTGACAATTTTTCAGGAACTCCGTAGTGTCGAAGAAGTTTCCATAACGTTCTTTTATCTACAATGTCAAATGTTTTTTCATAATCAATGGAGTTGATGTACAGTGACGAGTTCCACTCGCTAAAAAACGCTAACCAGGAAAAATAATTCAAAGCCTTATAGGAGGTGACCTTAATGCACGGTATATAAACTGGGTAAACTTAGAAGTATGGTCATCGACAGCCTCATTTGATTGCAAACTGTTAGAAATCACAATTGCACTAGCTTTATTACAGCACGTTGGAGATCCCACTAGATATGAGTTAATAATAATAATAATAATTTGTTCTCAAATAACATTTTGTTACGTGAGGCATGCCAGTTTACAGGCAAGATCAAATTCCTAAAATTGATACAAATTCCAAATGTAGTAAATTACTCAGCTGGGTCGATAATTTATGAGATATGAATGTAGAATGGTTTTAGTCAGTATAACAGTTGGCACGCTTCACGAAAGTTGCGTTGCGACACGCAACTGAGGGTCGATAATAGATTCATGTGCAGTTGAGGGCTTCTAAAAATCGCAATCTTATATCCCTTTGAAATATTTGAGGCTTCAAGGATGGTGAAGGACCAGGTCACCCGTTCCGTATCTCAAGGAGGCTGAAAAATGGTGCAAGGAAACAAGAAAGGACGAGAAGCAGAGCAGACAATGTTCATAAAGAAATAGTTAAGGTATGACTACTCAGTCTAATTCTCTTTTATTAAAGTATTTAGTAAGTAGGAGCATCCTAATAAGTTAAAGAAAATAAGTGTAAACATGGTGTGGAGTGGATAATCAACTGACAAATGAAGGTGGTTCAGAAAGAAACTGAGAGTATGAGAATATGTAGTCATAAAATATAGTGCTAAAAACAGTGTGACGATACACAAATGGCTGTATCCCTTTTTTGTCGACACTATCGGAGTGTTTTTTAGATTTTATAGGGTCTTGATAGGCCTCGTTTTTTTATCGAATTGTCTAGTGTGCTTGTAATAGGATTACTGGGTAGTAAGTGAAACCAATTCAAAGTTCGAAACACGATTTGATGAAGTATTTAGCATGATAAATCAGCATCAATACCACTAGTTCGTGACATTCCACTAGACCATAAGGAACCGTAATTTAACAAAATGTTCTGCCCTACAGACATGGGTGGATTGAAGTTATCTCCCCGCTATCATGTTTGCTGGTCAGTAACGCCACCCTCCCTAAGAAGCTTCTCGTCTCTCTTGGACTTTGGCTTCACACACAAAGATGACATTGATCAAATGAATTTCCTCCCACACCTTAGGAGAAGCGATCTTATAGTCATATTATTCAAATTCATGTCTGATGGCCAAACAGTTGCGCCGGACCGTCCCAACGTATGGAAGGCATACATGGAGGCAATCAACTCCGTAGCATCGGCTGAAAACTGGTAAATTGATTCAAGGGCATCAGTAGAAGAGGTATTGACTCGTTTCAGACAGTTGTACAATCAGATAAATCAACCATATATACTCTGGATAGTTCAAAAGAAGAAGCACAACCATCCCTGGATAGGCCGGAATACTCGACGTTTACTAAAACAAAAGAAGAAATGTTGTAATTTTGCCATCAGCCTTGGTACAACAAGTACGATGGGATGCTACAGGTCGGTAAGAAACAAATGTATAGCCGAAATCCAGAAAGCTCATAGAAAATATGAAATGCAGCTGGCACAATCTGTAATCAAGCAGCCTGAGAGAATATTCTCGTACATGAACTACAGAAGAAGGATGCAGCACTGGATTCCCAGCCTGATTAAAGAAAGAGTGGATCTGAAATGATAGAGGAAGATCAGGAAAAAGCATAGGCTATGTGAAACTGTTTTTGGGCAGTTTTCACTCACAAACCTCTTCTAGATGGAGAACTAGGCCCAAATACAAGGTCAATAAACCGCCTGGTCACCGTGGACCTTAATCAAAACGATGTACTTGAGGTTCTTATCACCTTGGACATGGAGAAGTTGTAACAGCTTAGGTCGATTGGTTAAGAGTTGATCTCACGAACTAAGCATATGTCAAAACGGCATAGTTCAGATATTTATTCACTTTTTAATTCTGTATAGGTGTTATATTCCTAATTATCTTATATTGTATATTGAGAGGCTTTGTTTGTCTGAGTAAGGAATCCCACGCTCCACTGTGACTGCGTGAAGATCAAAATAAAGACCTATTTTCCTACGAGTCTGGTTTCTTCTATTAATAACACGAGGTATGTCTAAAGGCACGAAAGAGTCAAGTGAGCGAGATGAACTGTACCCCAAAGTCCTGAAACATACTGCACAATATATCGCAGCCCCACTGATTGTGATATTTAATGTCACTTGACCAAGATGTGTTATCTATGGAATGAAAGGACGCAATCGTCACTCCCATACATAGAACAGGACCAAGTCAACTTCCATCGAACTACAGACTTGTAAACCTCACCGGTGTTGTAGTTAAAATATTGGAAAGTATAATCAGACGTACCATAATGGCATTTATGGAAACCAACAACCTGCCAAACATGGACTGGCATGGTTTTATAAAGAGTATATCCTGTACAACGAACCTCCTTATAGCAAGGGAGTTTTGGATAAGGGCGCTAGACAACGAAAACTCAGTGGGTGTTTTCTACATAGACTTCAGTAAGGCTCGGTATTGACCGACCTCTTTTAAAATGGATTAAGGATTTCCTAGAAGGTCGTAGACAGAAAGTCAGGATAAATTTCAAGTGCTTCATCTGGAGACCAGTACATGGAGGAGTAACTCAAGGCTCCGTTCTAGGTTCTTTACTTTTCATAATGTATGTTAATGATCTTCCAAGTATAGTACAGTCTCCAATGTTATTATGGGCAGACGATGTAAAGAGCTGACGAGTAATAACTGCAGACACAGACGCCTGTGCTCTTCAGACAGACTTTAACAATATGATTATCTGGTCTAAAGAGTGGCTGATGCCTACAAACGCGACACAATGTGTCTACATGTACTTTGTGGATTTAAAGTTTAACAGCCACAACATACGGGAAGTGACATTACCCATGGTTCGGTCTCATAAGGATCTAGATGTGAGTCATGATCTTAAGACGATGGCTTATTTCGGGGAGGTCGCAGAAAAGGGGTTTCGAACCTTCTGGGCTTTAAAATGGACATTCACTAAGTTAGATACTACCATGTCCATTACAGTATACACAAAATTAGTGAGAACTAAGCTTGAGAACTGCGTTCAGGATGCAAGTCCCATGTTTAAAAAGTGACTCAGATATCCTAGAAAAAGTACAATGGGCAGCTATCCGTTCAATTTGAAAACTCCGAGGTTTACCATACAAAGAGTGGCTTGAAAAGATAGATCTCTTTACCCTGTCCTATGGCAGATTAAGGGGGCGACCTAATTTTGAAGTACAGAATACTAAGAAATGATTTCGGACCTAACTTATTCTCTCTTTTTCTTCCCACTAGATCGGAACATCTCATAGGACATAGCAGGCGAGTAGAAAAGCCAAGAAGGAACAAAATATCCGTGGCATACATGTTTTCACACCGAGTCATCAATGCTTGGAATCTGCTGCCCCAATAAGTGGTGTCCGCACCTTCAGTTGACTCTTTCAAGAGAAGGCTGGTTACTCACAGAAGCATTCTAGACAAGGAACAACATAGGTCGTAGACCTTTCGTCCTTACTACACAAATGGTTTACGTCTGGAGTTTCGTTTCTCTCATCGAGTAGTGAATTAATGTAATTCCCTACTGGAACACATAGTATCAGCACCTTCTGTTGATATATTCAAAACGAGATTAAGCCTCCGCAGTATTACAAACTGCGAGGGTTAATACAGGTCGATAGACCTCCTATCTTTATTACTGAAGACAGAAGACTGAGGTTAACGTTGCATGTGAGATTGAGCGTTCGAACCGCTGCTTTCGATCTCATTGCTACTTCAGTATGTTGTCCTTGAGTAGCAAAAAAGGGCTTCATAGGCTGATTTATTCATCATACTCGCGTCTTTTATCTTCAGAGCCAAGGTTAGTGATAAAATTGTGTTAATGTGCCTCTAGTCAACCTTCAAAAGTTGATAGTTCTGATGAGTCCATCCCGTACAAATCGTACAGTCCTTTCCCAAAACCACAAGGGAAAATAGACTATGTTATCACCCGGCTTGATGATTTAGCAGACTGGGCTAGAAAAGTGGGGTCAATTTTTATCGTTTCACTCCGTAGAATTCGATATATCCGCTTACTTTCGGTCTTGCATGCTGCGCTGTTGAAATGATGCATATCGCTGGGCCTCGTTATGACATGGATCGTTATGGGGTAGTTTTTCGGGCTAGCCCACGTCAAGCTGATCTTCTAATCGTATCTGGAACTGTTACAAACAAGATGGCTCCGGCCCTTCACAGAATTTACAGCCAAATGACTCAGCCGAAGTGGGTTATTTCAATGGGTTCTTGTGCAAATGGTGGCGGTTACTATCATTATTCATATAGCGTTGTACGTGGTTGTGATCGAATTATTCCGGTTGATATATATGTCCCAGGTATGTTGTTGTTAGGTTGTTCGTTTTGTTCTTAGTGTGACCTACCAGTTTTTTAATTTAAATTGATAGCTGCATACTAGAGGATCTAACCTAATTCCATTAAATAAACTATACTGAAAAGGGCAAAACACAGGCAGTTCTCGAAATAATTACTTGTCCGTGTACTCGACTACGAGAGGTACTTCTATGAAGAATAATAATACAACCTGGGTACTTATTCTAATCAACAGTTGGGGAGTAGTGTGAAATACATAGAGCATATCCCGGTCACTAATCGGTAAACGTTTACATCCTTACCAAACATCATTCGTCTCCATCTAGTAGCCTGCGAGTAGCTTCAGCATTACTCACGTCGTGGTTGAACTATACACTGCGAAACCCGTCATGATAACTACTAACAATCTACACATATCTTAAACCCTCAGATACCACTTCACATGCGTAAATATAGGGTTAGCTGTTGCGCACCGTATTCTTTCTTTTGGAAAGCGAATGGGGATGTATCGTGTTTAGTTACTTAAACAATAATCAGTTATATATGACTAATAATTGCTTTGGGTGACAACCATTTAACTGAGTAGAAACCACTGACTTCATCATAGTTTGATATGTTTTGCACGCTCATTCTGTGGATTCAAACTTGGCCATCATCAGCATAGGTTAAAAGGTTTAAAGAAACCAACCTATGACTTCCGACCAAAGTCGTATTCAGATGCCGTATTATTCGAAGCCACTCAATATTTACAATACCATTAGTTTTGTTGTTGATTCCCTGATTCACTGTACCAATACGTACTATAACAACTTGAAGCTTCGTGCTTTTGTGCCAGGTTATACGATTTCCATGACTAACTAATTTAAAGGTCCCATGTTAACCTAATGCAGACTTTTTCAATGAGATCAAACACGTTAAAGTTTTAAGTTCAAATTATTTAGTCACAGTTAAGTTCTACTATATGTCTAGCTAATTTAAGTACTAAGTAGTAAGCTTGATGTTAAACTATTGTGGCGAATCAGGCTCATTCTTTTACTTGAAAGTAACAATAATATTCTTATTTATTTACTTATTTTTAATGTTAGGTTGTCCTCCATCTGCAGAAGCGCTGATGTATTCTATATTACAACTGCAAAAGAAAATTAAATCTGAAAAACACGTTAGATCATGGTATAGGAGATAAATGATGAATTTATCTTAAATGAAAGAATTTTCAGAACTGAATTGTAACTCACTCTCCAAAATTGATTCACACATTAGTGTTTACTTGTATTTATTATAGAAAACCAAACCTTTCTAGATATACATGTGTTTATCTGTTTGAATTTGCGTACCACGTTTTGAGTGAAATGTGAGTTGCACATCTGTTGTACTCTTCAGAAGATATAAGTTAACTTTCCCAGCCACTATCCATCCTGTGGTTCAATGGTGACTAGCGTCTAAGTTGGTTGAAAGAAAGCTAAGGAATGCTAAACCAAACAATGATATCAATTCATTATATCAATGACTGCTTATATTGGTCGCCTTGGGAATCGCATATCTCTTCATGGTCCGCACACTAATCATGGATCTCAAGTGATATAACTCGTAATCAGTTATAAAAATTCAGTCTCATTCATCCATTTCTGAACTGTCCTCAGGTGTCATAATAGGTACGTTTCTCTCTGATCTTCCAATGTATTTGAGTTGATTCGTACATATGAACTAGCGGATACTATTCAATCAAAATATTTTTCTGTTATGCTGGTTATTTTTGATTGGTCCAACGGCAGAGTGACTTATTCGGACTGCGTAAGAGTATGAGTCAAAGTCTAGGGTAGATGAATTTATACCGCATCAAATAAAAAGCCTAGGATGTTGATATCTAATTTAGCGATTATATTTTATTAAGAAATACATTATAATCATATTCTGTTCATAATTTTAACTTTTTGTATTATCAATGCAGTAATTTATTTAAACTACAGAATCTTTTGGTTGTTTTAAAAACGGTTTGAATAGTTGCTAAATCCTTATTAAAGAAATAACGTTTTTTTAAAAAACTTAATAGAAAACTCACATATTTAAATAGAATCAACTAAAATGTGACTTTTATTTGATGATAGAATGTTATCGGTAACAATTAAGAGAAACACTTTCAACAGAAAAGAGAAATCATCACTGGCAATTTAAACATTTTGACTGAATACAATCAAGTTGGTTTATTAATAAATGTCACAGTTTCAATTTAAGCAATCAATTTTTTTCCGAACAACAAAACTATTGATTATCATTTACAACAACAATCAGAGTTACATAGTCGTATACTGTTGCGAGTGTATTTGAATTCAAGAAAATCTAGAGAAAGTCAAAAATGGTGGAATTCATCAATAAAGAAAGCAGTGATTATATAGAATAAAATATTTAGATCAACCAAATGTTCAATGTTTAATAGAATTCAAAGTAAGAATGGATTTGTAACACTAACTGATTTAGAATTGTATACGTTAAATTTTTAAACTTGTCATTTTGATTATCTTTCTGATTGTAACCATGACGCAAATAATACTGTTTCCGACCGTTGCTGCTATCTTGACTTAACGGTCGGGATGAACTAATCGATCTATACTGGCTGGGACAATCGTTCCTCAAGGCCCTCCTACAAAAAAAGGGTGAGGTTAGAAAAGGTTGATTGTAAAAACACACACTTCGCCTTATCCCACGGATATCCGTCTCCGGCGGTAATGTCTCAACAAGTAGCACAAAATGGTTGTGTTTGACCTTCCACAAACAGTTGATTTTTATTCGAGTTGTATTGACTCTGACATACTAACTAGTTTACTGTTATTAGTAGCTTTATTCAATATTTTATTTATGGTACAAAATAGAATTCTCAGCACAAAGTTTTTCAACAAGTTTCTCTTACAAAAAGAAAAAAAGTGGCGGAAACTGATAACGGCATTCATTCATCCATAAGTTAAGCAGGTAAACTACCTGGAACTAAACGTAATGTTTTTGAGGAGATTTGAATCTCCACAACGTTTTCAATTAAAAACGTGTTTAAGAATACAGGTTATTGACTAGGATTGTCTATTGAAGAACGGTGTGCCTGAGAAGTTTATTAACATCCTAAAAGCCCTATATACAAACACCTCAGGCAGAGTGAGGGCATACAACCACCTTTCTCCACTATTCTATTCAAGCAGTGGGGTTAGACAGTGTTGCCCAGTCTCACCATTCCTCTTCAACTTTGCCATCGATGACATTCTGGAAAAGGCGCTGATGGATGCAAGTAATGGTGGTGTGAATCTGTTGCCTGGAGAAAGACTTCTCGACCTTTAGTATGCGGATGATATTGTCTTACTGTGCGAGAATGTTCAAGCCATGCAATCCGCACTTAATCAGTTGGCAATCAATGTCCGTAGGTACGGTATGTGCTTTGCACCTTCGAAGTGCAAAGTACTTCTACAAGACTGGTAGGATTCTAATCCTGTACTCACTCTGGATGGTGAGCAAATAGAAGTAGTCGAGAAGTTCGTGTATCTAGGTAGCTGCATAAGTGCTGTTTGTGGTGGCGTGAGTGATGAGATCAATGCACGTATAGTGAAAGCCAGAGCGGCTTATGCCAATCTGATCACCTTTGGCGCCTTCGTAATGTTAGTCTGGCTGTAAAAGGTCTGATGTACAACGTGTTGGTGAGAGCAGTTCTGCTCTATGCTTGTGAAACCTGGCTTCTCTGAGTTGAGGATGTTAGACGACTCTGTGTTTGATCATCGTTGTCTCCGAAGTATTGCTGACATTCAGTGGCAACACCATGTCAGTAATGCAGAGGTTCGGCATCGTGTGTTCGGGCACAGAGACGATAATGCAATTGGTGTCACCATGTTGATACACCGACTTCGGTGGCTTGGACATGTTCCACGAATGTCGTCCCAGAGAATTCCTCGTCGTGCATTATTTGCCGACTCTGGGACTGGTTGGAAAAAGCGGAGAGGTGGTCAGTGTGTGACATGGTGTCGTAGTATGAAAGAAAGCTGCGAAGGGCTGACTTGTGTTGGTCCTTCACGACTCCCTGGTTGGGGTCCGAGAGATGGTATGACAGTGTCTAGAAACGTTATCAGATATGTCTCACAATAGAAGCGAGTGCCATTCCTGCTGTAATCTTCTTTTACTTTCTTCATAAAAAGTTGTTGCTTCTTCCTTAACTGAAAGATTTTTTCTGATTGTACCTTTCCGTTTCCTCCATTATTGTTCTTTCTCTTTTTTATAATTCCCTACGTTAATTACCTTTTTTCCGTTCTCCTTAAATTCTCATTGTTTTGTGTGGCGCATATATATTTGGTGCCCCCTTGTACCAATATATATGTGTTCAAATAAATAAATAAATAATTGACTAGGTTCACTGTAACAATCTGTTCGTCACATAGTATATTTGCTAGATAAGGTATTGTAGAGCTTATATACTTTTGCTTGCGTGCATGGATTGAAGTCTCGTTCTATCATGAGATATACAAGGAGAAAGATATGATTGAAGAGGGTGGTTAGTATCTAATAAGATAACACCTGCCAGGAGTTTGCAAGACCTTAGATGTCTATCCACAACTATATTAATAATGCTCCTCGTGGCGCACCATGAGACGGTACAGATGTCAAAAACCTTCCTCCAAATACAGTGTGCTTTTCACTTTGAGAGAGTTAGAAACATGGCCAGTTGGCTATCCAGCTGTTATTGTTGACGCTGGTTGACATGTTAAGTAGTTGTCGTGGAATAGAGTCATAAAAATGTTTTGAACATACTTTTTACCCTTTTCCACATTGAACATTATTATAGTGCAGAACAACAGCAGCGTCTAAAGTGCTTCTTTTACATTTGTGATCAAACTGATAAGGATCAGTGTGTTCTTTTAGTGTAGGTTGAAGTGAGGTTATCAATAATTCTTCCATTGTTTTGAGGAAATGTAAAGTTATTGACGTGGTTCTAAATTTCACATTCCTATATTCAGATACTTTGTTAAGAATTGGAATTATTATTTTTCTCTACATTTTCGCCGAGATTAGTTGCGAAGGATCTGTTAGAGATGCTCCTCAATGGAGAGTTTTTAAAAGATAGAAGTTTTTGAGTAAACATTGAGTTCAGACGTCTAATCCCTAAGTTTGTTAGACCATTTAGCTTTCTAACTTAAATGTGGTTTTTCACTGTGCACATTCTTTCTTTCGCCCTCCATAATCGTTTGAGAAGTGGAAATGTAAGTTGATCAAAACTTACAGATATGGTTTCAGTTGAACAACAGATATTAAAACAGAATTGAAGACAAGAAGTAATGACATTAACGGTGTTTTCCAGTGAGCTATATGTAAATAATTTCCAGTTGATCTTACGAAACACGTTTTTCAAATTTTGGATATTTTCTTCTGAATAATTATTGTATTTGACTTTCTTTGTCTTATGTAAGAGGTTACACTTTCCAAGTCTGCCATATACTTTTGGTGGGATGCGAATTGTACAGTAATCCGAACTAGATAATAATGCACAATTACGAGTTACATATTTTCCCATATCATTAATGAAAACAAAGTCTAAATGGGCTTCCAAACGAGTGGGAAAATCAACAATGTTTTGGTGACCTAGTTTCGAAAGGAAGCTAGAATCATAAGGATTAAAATCACCACATACAATTGAAAGTGAATCACTGAAGGCAGTAACAACAAATTCAGTAAGTCCATCAGCGAAAACAGATAGTGATGATGATGCGCAGTTTGGAGTCACGTAGATGTCAACAACATAAACATAATTGTATTTATTGAAGTGTCTTGTAGGGCACCTTAAAGTTGAACGGTCGATAAGGTGGTTTGAAATCTTGAAACACGCAAAAGTAGATCGACACCAGTTCACATTTACAAACGTAGATACACTGCCGCCACAACTTTTTCTATTGCTTGGTCGATCCCGACAATAAATATTGAAATCTTGTATTGATACTAAGTGATAGTCCTGTAAATCATTTAATGAAGATTTTTTAATCGCAATTACACCATAATCACGATAATATGTTTAAACTTGGAATTGGAGATACTCCACCTTGTTATTTAGCGATCGACTGTTAGAATTTAGCAGCTCAAGAATCGACATATGATCAATGTTCACTAATTTTAATGCATATTGTCAGCCACGATGTCACTGATAGTACTTTTTTGTAAGTTGTATAGTGGAAGACCGTAACCTCTTCATAAATGCGATTGAATAGGCTGTGCGATTAACAGACATGGTGGTATTAAAACGAACAAAAAAGGGACTTGTTGAAATATTTAGATAGCAGGAAGAGGTAGCCCAGAGATTCAAGCATATAGCATCTCTTGTAATAACTTCACTTTCTATATACTTACCTAATGGGATCTTCAGTTTATAGAGTTCACCAATGTTAAGTTCAATTTACCTTACCTACTTTACTAGTCCGTATGATAATTCCACATTAGCCACTTGAATTTCATTCACTACATATTTTATTATCAGAAGGGGTTTTGTGGAGATTGTAGTAATTTCAATAGTTAAGATCATGAGTCAGTTGAAGCCAGACCACCATGGAAAACCTGGAAGCACTGGACGGCCGTTTCGTCTTATTGTGAGACTCCTCGGCAGTGCGCATCCACCACCTCGCCCCCCCGGTTGGATGCC